AGAGGGCCAGCCTCGAGCGCAGGCAGGACCGTGCCACGAGCGTAGCCGCGGCGGAGCGTAGCGGTAGCGCGCGCCAGGGGGCCGGGGAAGCGGCGGTCGCGGCGCACGCGACCAGGAGGCGCGAGGACGGAGAGTGTCCCGCGAAGGGCGAGCAGGAGGACGAGGAGGAGGAGGAGGAAGAGGAGGAGGAAGAGGAGACCTCTTCCGGGGAATCGACGCCGCCGACGCCACCGCCGAGGACAGTCCGAGTGTCGCGTAAGCCGACGGTGACCCAGTCCCGACGTACCGCTTCTCACGGGTGAGGATCGCGATCTCGCTCCCCCTCCTGGATCCCCTCCCCATGTGCCTCGCACGCGCTCCTGGACGATCCTGTCGCATTGTATCGTAGAGTACGCTGTTCGATTCCTTTACCTCACGTTTGTTTTGTTTGCAAAGAGTAGAGTCTTTGTATGCCACGTCTACAAGGCAGGACATTGAAATGAATGTTTTTCGCTGGTAGCTGGTGTCGCTTGCCTTACTTTGCAACAAGTATCAATTGAGATCCCTCGAGTTATTTTCCTTGCGCAATCTATGCCAAACTTTCTCATTCTGGAGCGTAAGCTTACAATTGTTGCTAACGGCGTAACGTGTGTTCCTGTAAAGTTGCAGTTTTGAGAGACACTTATCTGCGGGCGACGTCAGGAAGAATTCTCATTGCGGTGCGTTGGGTGGCAATTCATCCGACAGGAAACCGCCGAGGCGTTTCTCGTCCTTACCCTCTTTAGTCACACAGTGGACTTGTATTCGATGTCTATTGGACAATAATTGCAGCTCGCTGACTTGTGCGGCCTGCGATGCTAGTGCGTCGATAGCTCAAAGCGACGGGAAGCAAATTGGCGCGCGCAAGAGCAGAAAGACTAATCTGCACAAGGAGAATCGCGTTAGAGTCACGTCTGGACTTTTGGCCCACGTCCTACATGGGAGCGCTAGCAGGAGTGGCTCCGGTAACGATGATAAAATCAACAGTACAGGTGAGTGTCGCGCTCGCACGACATCGTCGTGGGGTCCGTCCGCGAGAGCGCGTCCGGTGGATTGAATTATTGTCGCTTGTAAAATCTTTCAGGCATGGCACAGTTGACGAGCATAAGCCGAAGCGAGAGAGGCAGAGGGCACCATAAAGACTGGATCTTGCCGTCAATCGGAGCAATGGAGTCCAGCACGCTGCCGTTCGCAGATAACAGCGATACCTCGCAACGCTCGCCGAAACGACACAGTCCCTCGATGTACGAGCGGGTGAAGTCTAAAGTTAGCCGTTCGCTGTCGAACGGTTCGGTTGTTGAGAAATTATCGGAGCACATGGTACAACGACCTACGAGCCTGGTGGTGCCGGAGGCGCGGCAGGACGACGGCTTGTGGAGCTGCGACAACTGCACGCTGGACAATGCGCCCGGGCTGGAGCAGTGCGAGGCGTGCGACGCCCCTAGGAGCCCCGCGCCCTGCAGCGGGGTGGTTATCAGTGTGCCGGCTTGGGTGCCGCGCGCGTTATCGTCCGCCGGGCCCCTGTCCTACAGGAGATCCTTCTCGGACGCCGACTCGGTCGCGAGCGTGACGCAGAAGAAGAGCGTTAACCGCAGGAGCTTGAACGACGAGGAACCGCCCGCGGTGCCGCCGCACTCCATCGGCTTCAACTCGAGACCAAAGTATTCCTACATCGGGATCACGGATCCCGACATACCGCCGCCGTTGCCAAAGAAACAGAGCAGTAAGTTGGTGCCGACGAAGGCGCACAGCGAGGCGACCAGCCCGGTGGGCGAGGTGTCGAATGTCAGCCCGCTGAAGCGCATGTGGACCTGCAGAAAGTGTTCCTACGCGTACAATCCGCTGTGGTCCAGCGGCTGTGACATCTGCGGCTCGTCCAGATCACCCCCGTCGCTCACGCAGCCGAGCTTGATAACCGTCACCAAGGACACGAGCGGCTATCCGACGCATCCACAGTCACCGATCGTGGTGTCGAGGGACAGCGTCAGGTACATACCACCGAAAGCGGCCACCCTGGCCACGGCGGAGTCCGACCTGGACGATCAGATAGACCCGCCGTCACCGGTGTGGACGTGCAAGAAGTGCACTCTACTGAACGCCGCCTCGAGAACGACGTGCGAGGCTTGCTGCGGCTCCAAGCTCAAGAGTATCATGCATCTCGAGGATGCCACTCTGCGAAAGGGCGAGAGCTGGGTGTGCCCGTCGTGCACGCTGAGGAATCCGCTCTCCGCGCAGAACTGCAACGCCTGCAAGACGCTAGCGGACTTCCTGGAGGTCCCGAAAGACAATAGGGCCCTTGGCCAACGGAGTCCGAGCCCGAGGCTCTGTTCAACCCCGACAAATTCCAAAGCGGTTACTCCGAGGCATAGAAATTCCGTGAGAAGAAACGGCTCGTCGGCAGTTGACAAAAGGCACTCGAGGACCAGAGATCCCTCACACACGCAAGTTAGTATTTGTCCTTTTCATCGAGATCTCAGATATTATTGGTACGAACGTAATAACTCACGATTGGTTCGTTCTTGCCGAAACCTTTCATTCGCCCTACTTTTTTGCTTTTCACTCGTTTGGTCTTGTCGTTGGCGCGGTACATTAGAGAATCGCTATCTCTATCTCTAACGTTTTCATCGTATGTCCAGTGGCAATGTAAAGTGTGCACGTATGAGAACAAGAGTACAACTGTTATCTGCGAAATGTGCCAAAGCTCCAAGTCGCTGTTTCAAGTATCTGGAGACAGGGGGATACCTAGGCTTGTCGAGTCGGGCACTAGTACTCTTAGAATACAGCGGCAGGAGAGCGTGGTGATGGAGAATCTTAGGCAGCTGGAGGAGAGAGACGCGCTGGAGAAATGGGAGCGCATTGTACGATATTGCAAGGAGGTACGGGCGCAGATTTAGAATAGGTGCCTAGGATGCCCAATTATTTATGTGATTTAACGTTACTCTCATTTTTTATCTTATAGACAAACGAGCCGTTCGTCGACGATTCGTTCCCGCCTGCTCCGAAATCCTTGTATTATAATCCCGCGGATACGAAAGATAATCATGTCGTCCAGTGGAGAAGGCCACACCAAATTAACGTGGACTCAAGTGTCGATTCTAAACTGCCTTGGGCTGTCTTTAGGACACCCCTACCTTCTGATATCTCGCAAGGTGTCTTAGGAAATTGTTGGTTACTGTCGGCCCTGGCCGTTCTGGCCGAGAGTGACGAGCTCGTGAGAAGAGTTCTGGTCATGAAGGAGACATGTCCCGAGGGTGCTTACCAAGTTAGACTGTGCAAAGATGGTAAATGGACGACGGTGCTCGTTGATGATCTATTACCCTGTGATAAGAGAGGCCACTTAGTATACTCTCAGGTACGCGTCTGTATACCGCACAAAGATAACGTTATACCAAATATTTCCCCTCGACGCGCATTCTTAGTGACATGCACTTGTGACATCTTACATTGCAGGCAAAGAGAAAACAGCTTTGGGTGCCGCTGATCGAAAAAGCAGTTGCTAAAATACATGGCTGTTACGAGGCCTTAGTGTCTGGCCGTGCTATAGAAGGTCTAGCGACATTGACCGGTGCCCCGTGTGAGAGCGTGCCTTTACAACCTTCAGCATTGCCAAGCGAAGACGAACTCGATAGGGACCTAATATGGGCACAACTCTTGTCCTCGAGGCAGGCTATGTTTTTAATGGGTGCTAGCTGCGGTGGTGGTAACATGAAGGTTGACGAGGAGGAATATCAGCGCAAAGGTTTAAGGCCAAGGTAAATTGGGGAAAATTTCATTCTTTCATGTTACATCGATTTTCGCGTCTTTCATCTTTTTCATTCGAAATGTCTCTTTCAGGCATGCATATTCTGTCCTCGATGTCCGCGATGTACAGGTAGGTGTCGCGGATAATGTACACGCCTAGCTTGTTTTATTTCACCTCATTTGAAGCAAATATACACGTCACGCGATTGTTACGCAGGGGATACGGTTATTACGACTACGCAATCCTTGGGGTCATTATAGTTGGAAAGGGGATTGGTCGGACGACAGCCCTATATGGACGCCACAATTACGAGAGATGCTTATGCCGCACGGTGCTTCAGATGGTGTCTTTTGGATATCCTTTGACGACGTTCTCAAGTACTTCGATTGCATTGACATCTGCAAGACGAGAGTCGGATGGAGCGAAGTGAGATTGCGCGGCACTCTCCCTCCATTGTCGTCCCTCAGACATTTGTCGTGCGTCCTTTTGACCGTATTAGAACCCACCGAAACGGAATTCACGCTATTCCAAGAGGGCCAAAGGTGAGCCGATTAAACTGGTTCGCGTGCGCGAGCATGACGTGTGATACGTTAACGAGTATGTATAATTTTCTAGAAATTCTGAGAAATCGCAACGTTCTCAACTGGACCTGTGCGTGGTAGTTTTTCGCACGAGATCCCCAGCCGCTCCAGAAGTCGGTAGATTAGTGGAACATAGTAAGCGGCAGGTACGCGGTTTCGTCGGCTGTCACAAGATGTTGGAGAGGGATCTGTATATCGTCGTATGCCTGGCCTTTAATCATTGGCACACCGGAATGGAAGATACTTCTAGTTATCCAGAATACGTTCTTGCTATTCACAGCTCAAAAAGACTTCTCGTCGAGCAAATATCACCACCTGCTTTTGTCTTGGCCGACGCCATCATTAGCCTAACATTGGCTAAAGGACAACGGCACGAAGTAAGCCATTACATCGCATTTTAAATAATGTGTGAAGTAATTACTTCTAAAACTTACGACGACATACATTTTACAGGGCAGAGAAGGCATGACTGCTTATTATTTAACTAAAGGATGGGCCGGTTTAGTGGTAATGGTTGAAAATCGTCACGTAAACAAGTGGATTCACGTAAAATGCGACTGCCACGAAAGCTATAACGTCGTGTCCACGAGAGGACAACTCAGAACTGCCGATAGTGTTCCTCCCCTTCACAGGTGAGACTTAATTAAGCTTCTATTCAACACGATCAGGTTTTACATTAAATTTTCATTTCAGACAAGTCATCATAGTTCTCACGCAATTGGAAGGTAGCGGAGGTTTCTCAATAGCACATCGACTTACGCACAGATTAGCTAACAGTGGAAATTTGCACGATTGGGGACCGCCTGACACACAACATTGTCCTCAAATTGATATTCAGGTAGAAGGTTTGCACAGTCCTCGCTTAATAACGTGAAGAAAGGAGCCGTTACTCGAGGAAAGGATTGCCGACTGTAATCAGTAACGATTTTCGTACGTCGAGAAATTGACTGGAAAGAAACCAAAGCAAGCTAGAAACATTTCAGCGTACTATAAGACGTTCCGAAGGACATTTAGAATATTCTTTGTGCTTTCTAGCCGATGATACTCCACGGATACTCTTAGCGTTACAACATGCTCAGCATTGGACGTAATACAATAAGTAACAGTTAACGTACAATGGTTCTGGACCCAGTGAAAAAAAATTCTTTCAAGTAAATAGTGAGCCATGCACTTCGCGCGCGCTAATGGGAGAAAGGATGAACCTAAAGTATAAAAAAATATTTAAATAAAACTCACGTGCAAATTAAGTGTTTCTGCTGGAACCATTGAGCCCCATAAAGAAGACTTATGGAAAATTGAATATTTATGAAGAAACGAGTTGAACATTTTGCTTGTTATATAAACGAAAAAAAAATTATTTTCTCAACTTAACATTTAAGCATGATAAAAAAAAGATGACAAAACCTAAAAGATTACATAATAATATAATATAAAATGAAACCATTAGGAGACATTATAAAAGAACAAAAGGATGTGTGTGGAACACCGTACACATTGTTTTTGGAATTGTTTAGAATGTAGTACAATTACGCGAATCGTAACATTTCCAATTTAACCAATGTTTACATGCCGATCCTATCGCTGTAAGGCCGTACTTGAAACCCGCATTTAAGGGAACTTGGATTCTTAGTTCCATTTAATATATGCACGATGTAAAAAAAAAACAAGAGGCTGGAATCTCACACAAGGATATGTATCGACTGTAGAGTAGAACATTTATTTAGACTTTGTTATTCCTATCGCAACTGAATGGAGAGCTCGTGCTAAAATGGATATAGTGTGTAGCTACGGAAAGAACGAGAGAGAGAGAGTGAGAGAGCCAAAGGTCTCTCTTGAAACTTTTAAAGTATCTCGACGCGTTCACTGCCATTCTATGCAATGTATGTATAAAGCCTACTTTCGCTTCAACTATAAAATCGCTTACTTAGTTGAGGGCAGAATTAGAGAATCGTCGATAATACTTCTTGCACACTGATTACATTCTTTTGTCTCGGTAAATATGTTGCAAGATACATGCGCAAGCATGGCAGTCAGCGGGTTAGACATCATTAATTCTGCTTTTGAGTGAATCTCAACAAGAAATTTTCAAAGTGGTTTTTCATGTAATTTGTCCATGTAGTTGATATCAAGTTATGATATCAGTTCTTGGGGGGGGGGGGGGAACTTGATGTTTCCGTTTTATTAGGTGTGCTTTTTTATTCTGAACTGGTTGTACTAGGTCTGGAACAAGTGCAAATATACAACACAACAAGCAGTCAACGATTTTGACAAGTTAAATAGTAAATATGAAAACAAGAGGTTCCTCCTAGATCGAGAAAATTGTGCAACATTTATATTTTAATGTGTTCAATGTTTAAAATTTAAATATACAAATTAAAACCATCGCCACACATAGATTAAAAAAATAGTAACTGTTAAGTGACAAATATATAAAATTAGAAAATTTTATGCTCCGTCTCGTAACAATTACTAATACTGTATAAACACCATAGTTTTATGATTTTTAAAAATATGTTTGGTAGAATTGCAATTATACGTTCATCTTCAGCAGATGAATCGGCCAATTCCACAGGTGTAATACGGCGCGCCGTATTACTTTTGTACTTTTTTTTTTATGCCTGCCACTCGCTCTCTTTGCACCAGTTCAGCTCTAGCGCAATCCATTGTAAGAATAAAAAACAAACCTAGGCCGGTATTCGTAGTCCGATTTTATATTCACGATCGTCTCAGGTACAATCTCGAGACGCTGTATGATCACTTGGTTGCTTGGATAGTGTTTGAAGACCGCCTATGATATACTTAAACACAAGGTCGGACTACGAGTGCCGCCCCTAAAGTCAAACTGCCATATTCCATGTTTTTAGACAATGATCGATTGATGACACGCGCGACATACGTCTTGCACTACAATTATATCGAATCAAAAAATTGTCCGGCGCTCTCTATACAGGGTGTCCTAAAACCACCGGAGGTCCTCTTAATGACAGATTCCTTAGAACATTTCCAGACGAAAATCCTAATACAAAAGTGTCGAGGCTATAATAGTTTTTAAATTAGAAGCGATTATTTTCCACAAATGATAGGGCTGAAATTTCGCGCGCTCAGGAACGGCAAAATGACAAGTGATATAAGTGCTCCTATGAATATCGTTCTTCTTATATCACTTGTC